CATGTGAAGGTCGACCATGTCGACATTAAGAGAGGTAAATGAATCAATTAAAGGAAAATTTCCCTGTGTGTAAAGCCACCCCAGAATTCCCCATTTTGCAGCCATTTAAGCATCGTATTTTTTTCTCTATTTTGGAATTTCCTGTGCCTAGTGATATTACTAGGACCTTCTGATATTGTAGAGCTTGTGCCGGTACCTCATCTGGATTTCCTGGGAACACGGTTCCTGTTGGCTTCATGGCCAGCAATGTCTTCAAAAGACGGTCAGACTCAGAATAAAAGTATAACTCCAAGCGACAAAGCAATTCTTAGTTTTCTAGAAAAAGGGTCTGGACAGACTTACAGGATTATTTGCTGCCATTCCTCCATCAACGAGGTGAAATGGTGTATCATTCCCGTGCGAATCTTTAGTTTTAAAATGATGAGTTGGAAAATAAGTTGGGGCTGCAGAAGTAGCAATGCACACTTCTGATAGCAAAGCATCTGATTCTGCCTTCATTATTAATATATTAATTTCCTAATTATTTAGCTCCAAACAATATACTTAAAAGTATTTATTGAAATGAAAAATAATTCACCAGAAATTTTGAAAAGATGGTAGGTTGAAGTAGGTTGATGTCAAAAGTACTGGGTATAACAATTCACGTTAGATTGCCATGCAGTCTTCGATGCCCAAGTATATTGTGAACAACTTTCTTAGATAGTCGTCATTGTATTTTGGTCCCAGTAAAGGCTTCATTCTCTTAAAGATTCGACTAAAATCATCAAACCACAAGTTAATTGCCCAGAAAATTGCTAATGCATGTTTAACTATAAAAGAAGTAAATTAATATAACTGCACACACAGCTTACAGAGACTGAGGAAATATTTTAGGGCCATGCTTGAGATAGAAGGGAACAATATCTTTTGCAATGTAAGGAGGATGCCCTTGCTCGTCAGGAGCTGTCAACATGCTTGTTATTAAACCTCCTGTGCTAGCTCCTGCAATCACATCAAAGTAATCTGCAAGTCGAGCATTTTCTCCATCCAATTCCTGTTCCATCTATCAAACCATGCACATTCCAAAATTAGTCTGAATATTTTTTTTTTTCTTAGAAAATACAAATGCATGTAGGTAGCTTGGAACTAGAAGTGGCCATATCAGAACTATTAAGTTTCTAATATATAATAGCTAGCTATGTTAGAGGTTGCAGCAACGTGAGTGAATTTATCTGGGTGCTCGTGTGTAATGAAGAGTGTTCATTGGCATGACTAGTACGCGTACTTGTAACTTTGATTCAAGAAAACTCAACATAGTTGCTGGTATAATTCCTCTAGTTCCTCCCCCATCGATGCTTAGAACTGTAATCTTTTCACNAATCATCTGATTGCAGCATGACTTGTAGTTTCCAAGGTTCGATTCTCAAACCTTAAAAACTAAGGGACTTCTGTTATGCCCGGGAAAATAGGGCTGACATGGCACCCAGTTAAGTGCGAAAGGTCAGACCTCGGGAAGAGCTTACTGGCATTCTGGCGCAGCTGCGTCGTGTGATCATGGTAACACCCACAGCTTGCTTCTGTCAGAATAATGGGTGCACGTCAGGCCAACCAGGAGTTGTGATGATCTCGTGTGTCCAATCCCTGCAGCAAATCACGTGAATTACTCTAAAAGAAGGATTTGCACGGATCATCCCACCAACTTTCAGATTCAGTGATCATTACCTCAAGGCATCCCACTATAAAATGAGAGCTCCTCTCTCATTAAGGGGATTCGCACATTTTTACTCTTGACAACACACTCTCTCTCTCTAGAAAAGACAGTCTTTGATACCTTGTATCATCAGTGTAAAGTCAATTGTCTAAAGCGACCTGACCATTATCATTAATAAAAACATCAGTGGACGTAGGATTTGCTTCCTTAGCATCCGAACCACTTTAAAACTCCTTTCTCACGGCATTTAGTGTCATTTTCCTTTCCATTCACGTGTGTCTTTTGAGCCAACTCAACATTTCACACGTATGTTTCATTGGTGTCAAAATCACGCATCAACATATTTAAAAAATTCCAGATCAAAAGTATATTTTTTTTAGAATCTAGGGATCAAAGTGATACTTTTACCAAACCTCAAGTAGCGAAATTTTTTAACCAATTAGAAGGGCATCCTAAAAATAAAAGCAAAAAGGGCCATTTGCTAAAACCCCATATGTGTGTAGATTTTGGAATATTCTTAAATACTTGCCGAGTACCACAGAAATGGAATCAAGTCCCTTGTTAATTCTGTTTCGTTTTGGACAGTACTTGTGTTGTTTATGGCTCAACCACAGTCCTTAATTTCTATTTTTTTTGTTGACCAATCCAATAAATGCACATTTTATTTCTAAATTAATATAATATTTACCCTTTTAATGTGTCATTCATTTTCAGTCATAATAAATGTATTGCATACTAAACATTTCAAAGTCCCATTGTACATCTTAAATGAATAATTAAAGAGCCATTAACTTCTTTTTTTAACGATCGAAGATGTTAGGGTTCGTTTACACGCACTTCAACTAATCTTTCGTGATCCTGAAACTACCGATCAGATAAGAACTTCAATAACTACCATTGTCATTAACTTTTAACTACTAAAATTTGTACAAAGATGTTTATAATTAGTTGATAGATTTTTCAGATGTTTTAAAAGTGTATTTGATTGTTGGTTAGATAAACTGAAAAATCACTGAACGGCCCATTCACCGTTAAGTTTATGCTAAATCACTTTCTTCCAAGACGCTTAAACACATAAATCTCCAATGACCAAAATCTATCCCACATCACAATTGATGTAGATGAAACAAAATTACTCTAAAACAGGGAAGAATATTTGTTGAACACTGAATAATCAAAACCACTTTCTCCTAAGTTCTCAGATCAATTAAGTACGTACAAGTTATTCCAATTTCCGACTCTGTAATGTTGCATGCGACTCTAGGACTATTACATTAAATTTGGAGCAAGAAAAATGATGTAAAAATTAACACGACAAATCTTCGAGTGGTTCTTAGTTCTTACCCAGAAGAAATGAAAAGGAATAAAAATGCAATTACATATCCAAATGGGTGAAAAGAATTTCACCAATTGCACCAGAATAGAGAAAAACACAAAAGAGGAATTTTCTGTTTAACCTTGGAAGAGAGAGACACAAGCGCTCGGTTTAATGTATATCTATTTCTTTATCAAAAATGTTTGTTAGATCAATTGATCCCGATAAAATAGAGATATATTTGACATTTTATAGGCTGATTCATGTATAAAAAAGATTTATTTTTCTTTGTTGAATTAAAAAGTAAAAAAGTGATTTAATGGTGAGAGAGAGAATGATTTCAAATTTCATTTAATTCTCTCTCTCATTATTAAGTTAGCCTGAAAATCAAATTCTAATTAGATATTTTCAAAACATTAACAAATCTTATACTTTAATTTAATTATATGATAAGAGTTATTATACACTTGACTCATGTCAATAATTATAAGTTTAATTATAATCAAGACATTTGTGATAAAAATTCAATTTCAAATGATATCTTCATTGTTGCCGGAAATTGCTTCCAATATCACGTTTCGCTCTCTGGATTCCATAGTTCCCTTCCATATCGAACAATGAATAATGTTTTCCTTCCAATACGAAAATTAGCACTTTTTAATAAATAAAATCATACCGAACGAAATATGAACACTTGGATTAGAATGGTTGGCTTAATCGAATTTTAAATTACTTGTGTATAGATAAAAAAAATCTCTTGTACAAAATGTATGAACATTCTCTGAATAGAGACTAATAAATATATGAACACTTGAATAATGCAGTGATGGAGCAACGCATAGCCCGTAGCCCACCATTCATTGCCTAGGGTCACGGGCTGGAAGTTTCACACCCAAAAGGCTAACCTATTAGGTGGAGGGACTCCCCCCATTTATAAGCCCAAGACCTCTTCCATACGCTTTCAATGTGGGATTTGTTACATTTACTTGTCACGGGCTGGAAGTTTCACACCCAAAAGGCTAACCTATTAGGTGGAGGGACTCCCCCCATTTATAAGCCCAAGACCTCTTCCATACGCTTTTAATGTGGGATTTGTTACACTAGATACCCTTCGACTATCTATGCAAAAGGATGCGTCACGTTCCCTCAATAGAGATCAATAAATATATTAATATTTTCATTCATTTTTAAAATCAATACAATCTAATTTTATTAAACAAATACAGAGAAAATGGTTTTTATTATAATAACTTGACATATCCATTTTATACGATACTTTATACTTGATTACCTGTATAAATATATATTAAAACATTCCATACGAGAATTTATACACATAATTTTGTGTGTGTATATATATATATATATATACTCATGATTTAAGGTCCTAAGTTTCTTTGGGAATGAAAGGCAACCAAACATACAGTCCATGGGGATATAAAGAAAGGGTAGTGCTATATGGATTTGGATCAATTGATCCGGATCAAAACCTTTTTGGAAAGGAAAATTTACAATTTAACCCTTTAGTAAAATAAAATTATTTTTGGCTCCTAAACCCTGTTTTTTGGAGGAAAAACAATTTACTATATATTATGACACCATTAAGAATCTACTAACTCCAATTTTAAAGTAATCAAAAGTGCTCTTACTGCTTTATTATGTAATTTATGATTGGCAACAGTTGCTCAACTTATTCAGAAGGCACATTTTTCTTTAGCAGTGTGACCACCTGACCAGACGCAGCATAATAACCATTCAGTGAAGTCAATCATTAATGACTTCTTTTCAATTGTGCAGGAGATGATATATTTCTGGAAATTGATAAACGACAGGAAATCAAAAGAACTTGAGAGAGAGGTTATTACGTCTGGTGATCATAAGCTGCGAAACTCAGTAGCAAACTGCTATAATTTATTACCAACCTATAACTATTGATAAGCATGTCGTTACTAGTACAAGAAATAATACATAGATCCATTACATAATAGTCTTTAAAGTCTATATTGTATATTGTACATTGTCATCAATGAAAACTAAATTACATATTTACATGAATTATTCTGGACCCAGCAATTTTTTGTATGCCAAATGTCCGAAAAATGAATTGAACTACTGCCTGCAGCAGCTTAAATGGGGGGAAATAAGTACATAAGAGGAACAGGCACAACAATCAACAAGATGGTTTTATGTTTAAAAAATAATGGCAGGAATAAGAATAAATGTCTCCCCAACCATCAAAATTTAATTTGGAGGAGTCTTTCAAAGTTCAAACACATCTAATGATAGGAATTTCTCAAATGGGCAGATCTGCATGGTCCAAATTCCAGATTTAACATTTTGTCAGAATCTCAGCACCGTCCTGGGTTATTAGAATGGTGTGCTCAAATTGAGCTGACAGGCTCCCGTCCTCTGTAACAACTGTCCAGTCATCATTCCACATAACAGGATTAATGCTACCTATTGTCAGCATAGGTTCTGCACAAATTTACAACGTACAACAAAAGGAATCAGTATCCTATAATAGATGATAAAGAACAGAATTATGTTTGGCATTAAATCTGTAAGAACACACAGGAGTAGAAGGAATAAATTAAAAAGCCACAAGATACATGCACAAGCATGTTATTTAGAAACATGGAATGGCACATTAAATCATCTGTCTAATGGCTGTGAATGCAAACTTATGCAGCTATGAGGTCATGATGGAGTTTTCACAATCTGATTCAATGGATGCGAGAACTGAAACCAACTACATCTTAACTAGGGAGAAAAAAACCAGCTGAAAAGTCTTTGTTTCCAGCTCTCACTTCCTCATGAATGAGTATTTTTTAACCACAGTGTTTCCAGCTCTCACTTCCTCATGAATGAGTATTTTTTAACCACAGTAGTCCCTTTTCCATCTTCTCTAGGCTAGAGCATGTGGTAACAGCAGCTTTTGCAAGCTACTAACATACTGACCAATGATAGAAAGCCTCTATACTCCCAACACCAACCACTATTCTAAAACATTCTCCCAAGTCAAAATTCGTCTTGATTTGATTTGACCATGTTTAACGTTTACCGTAAAGAGATGTCAACATCAGCTCAACATCCACTGGATCAAAATGAGTATTATGCATGCATATAAATAATATAGATAGATTAATCATACCTAACCAACTTTGGAGAAGGATTGTTTAACAGCAAACATAATATAAATATGCAAAGAATTTCTGCCTCATTCATCATAAAATATCTAGACTAAAAATATTTTTTTCAGTTGGTGTCAATGTAAAACAAACAGTTAAGAGAATAAACATACTGTGCACATCCCCTAGAAAAATTATCTTCAAAACTGAAGGAGAAATAATCTTAAACAGATACATAAATGAATGACCTGAACTCTCAAATTTTTTCTTTCTTCTCTTTTCAAGGTCACTATCATTATACTTAAACAATTAAATCAGTCTACAGGGCGAATCTTGAATTCAGGACATTCATATAACAACCATGAGAATAAAATTGATTGCATTACCTATAGTGAAAGTTTGATTCAGCAACATGCGCCCATGATCATTGTTCCCTGAAATGCAAAAGGGATATTTGTTATAAACAGCATAAGCTGAACCTTCAAACACTTTCTGTATGCATGAATGCACACAGAGAGAGGCCATACGAGGAGAAAAGCTTTTTCAAAGAACTAAATTGATAAGGACTGATCGCACATATTTAATAAATATTCAGAAGTTAACTTTCTGCTGGCATTGCATATGGCTTACCCTAAGTACCATATCAGAACTGATACCATAAAATTTGTCAAATAATTCAAGTAGTAAATAACGCACGTAAACAAGACAAAAAGGAAAGAAAGTAAAGCACAGATGAAACAACCATCTATAATTAGACAGGTTCATCAATTCATAGATATCTATTATTTGAAAGATATCGAGTGTCATGCATACAGTAGGCCATGTTTGCTGCGATTTTATTAATGATGCAATTAAATTGACCGAAGAACAAAATAAAAGGTATAAACGTGTCCAAGTATGGAAGAGAAAATAACGGTATAAGCACGTCATTGGCAAGTCCATCACCACTGGTCAATTGCTGCAGCAACCCAATGGTCAACCAAACAAGAAAAGACAACATTTCAAACACAACCAGTAACAAGAACATACAGATAACACCTGAAGATAGCCCAGACCAAAAGCAAACAAAATCATGAAGAGATAGAGCTTAGGATAATTACTGTAGTGTAAAATAACTGGATCAGCATGGAAAACACGTCCAACCCCATGACCAACAAACTGTCTGACAACACCATATTTGTATTTATCTGCATAATCACTTAAGAAAACATTAATCATGAGTGAGTCTAAAACCAAAATGTGGCATTCAGTAACAATAGAAGAAGTTGAATTGCTCATGATGTCAAAGTTAAAATGTTCATGATATCTTCGATGATTAAGAGGCAACAAGAGGACAGTACTAACATTGTTTTATCAAATGAACATTGCAAAAATTATCAACCACCTTACTCTAGCCACAGAACATATGCAGTCAGCAGTTCTAAATCGGGACAGTAATGTATGGATTGATTGCATCTTTTCGGTCATAGTCATTCCGACATTGATCACTATTCAATCTTCATGGTTTTCAAAGACCAGCTCAAGGCCAAAAAAATTGTACTTGGTGATTTATTACAATGATTCTTAGCTCCACTACAATAATTTGTTAAAGAACATGGGCAACTTAGATATATCCACACTAACACCAAGACAAATTTTTTTGGCAAAACACCCAGCCAAATTGCCATACACAGAACTTAGTAACATAACCAAAAATCTCTTTTACAATTTCATTTGTGATACATCAATTCAAAGAAATGTGTTAGATACATTTTAAGTATATACATGTACATGTACGTATGTATTTGGTTGTTCACAATGACTTTAGCAAACTAAAGACTAAGGAACAAAGACCACAGCCAGTTTACTTACTGAATGGTTTTGCCAATTTTCTTGTACTCCACTCCAGGTGCACATACTGATATTGCTTTATCTAGGCATTCTTTGGTTACCTAAAGCATGTACCCAAAGTTCATTCCTGTAAGCACAATTACGATGAAGAAATATATACTAGACAAATAAAAAATTATGCAATTATTCTAGAATCAAAGTCACAAAGAGAACATTTCACACAAACTGTAAGTATCAATAAACAAACAGTTGAAGAAGTAAAACACATAAGAACTGTTTTGAAAAAAAGGTGGCCAGTTGCAACATTCTGAACTAATTAGTTTTCTAGTAAATATGTATATTTCAAAAAGATGTCAACTTGCAACATATCAGGAGTGGAGCTACTCAGGTTTGAAACATTTGGCTCAGGTGATCATACAGTACTAACTGGCAATATGATTACCACAATCAGGAATTTCAAATCTCTAGGACTTTATCTCATATAACTATGTAACAACAGCATCGACATAAGTATTGGTCTCCTATATGGAAAACATCTTAAACAACAAGATGATATATAATTATGGGTGGCAGCACAGAAGCATCACAGAGTAAGTAAAAGTTAGTCACTTTTTATGTGGCCTTTTGTTTTCCAAGTCCCTACTTAAGAATAAATCACATTTAAAGAGATTGTCAATGGAGTTAGATGACTGAAGCTGAGCTCAGCCAAGCGTCATATTAGGGACTAAAGCTTGCCACATGCTTTAAAAGGACTTAAATTTTAAGCTCAGATTGCCGTCAACCCATTACATCCCATAAAAGATAATGAAAAATCAGTGCATCAAGCAACCCAATTTTATTTCATTTAAATAGTATCTTTGCCAGCAGTAAAAGAGATGATTTTGTGGTACCACATTGATTTTAAGAGCATCTACCTGATGCAGTTAATAATAGGACCATGTACTGACAAATCATATTCATTAGTGAAGACATAAGAGTATATCAGATTTCTTATACGAAATCCATATATGAAGATAGAGCATAGAACACTCAAAAGATTGAAGCTCTAGAATGCTACCTTCACCAAATTTCTTGCTTCATCATCAACATCTCCACAGAAGAAAGTTGCAGAGGTATCACCATGATAACCCTGCACATTAGAGTCAGCCACCAATTAAAAAATCAAACAAAAGAGAATTTGCATAATAATCACCATAGTAAATCAACTTTAAACACGTTAAAAGACCAGGTGACTGTATTATATTGAAATCATCCCAAGGACTTGGCATGAGTTGATCACTAGCCATCAGTTGTTTACATAAACAAGAAAAACAGTAGCCAGCACACAGAAGTGATGAGCACAAGTCAACATATTTCATAAAGTAGCAACAAAATAAATAAGGTCATCATAGCAATAGATAACAAAACTCCAAATTTGATTAACAGCCTGAAACATGGTCAGAAGACACTTTAGAGTACAATTAACTATAGCAACACACACATATACACATGTATATATCTTATGGTCTTATCCATTTTATTCAAATTATGCATGACCAAAAACTGCAAGCAGATATATGCTTACATTTAGATAAACTGTTACATCAATATTAATAATATCACGATCCTGCAAAAGAAAGCACATATCAGACTTCAATTAATCAATAGAGCACCATAGGATTAAGCAGTTTGAAGAACTTAAGTAAAAGGACCTCAAGTTCACGGGAATCTGGTATTCCATGGCAAATACATTCATTCACTGAAGTGCAGACACTCTTTGGAAACCCACCATAGCCAAGAGGTGAGGGATAGGCTCCATTATCTACAATCATTTGGTGAACAGCTTCGTCAATTTCATCTGTTTTTACACCTGGCTGCCAAGGAAACAAAAACAAAAATTTTCAGAAAATGTAGTAAGCCCAACTCCCCGGTAGCACATGGTCAATCTACGTTTCATCTCTAGTTACTCATCGTATGACCGGAGTTTAACAACTATAATGAATTTTACAGTGGCAGGAAGAGAGAAATAGAAAAGATAAACTTAAAAAAAAAAAAATGATTTTTCAAACTTAGTTTGCAATTTATTGGCTCAACTCCCATGAATTCCTATGAACTCGAAAGGAAGGGTTGAGAAGGGAGCACATACAGTAGTCTGACAATACCCAAACAAAGTATAATAATGATCCAATATGGTACTCGATTCAAATTCATTCAAAATTTAAGAAAACTTTTAGTGGACAACAAAAGCCAAAAGAGTCGTTATTTACCTTGACTAAAGTTCCAGCATATTCAAGAACCTGTGCAGCAAGTCTGCCCGAAGCTCTCATGCATTCTATCCCCTTCACATCATGCACTTCAGGTCCACTTGCAATTCCCGGAGCTTGCCGAGTATTGACATAAGGAGGCCTTGGTATATGATCTGGAACAGGTCGATAAGGAGACAATTTCCCAGGCCTTAGTCGCTTACGCTTTGTGCTTGGAATGTCATCTAGATTACTGATAATTGCAAAAGAGTAGCTGTCAGAGCAAATTTTGATGATCTATCTACATGTATAAGAATATTCTTGTCTCTGATTTAGGGAAATAGCCCACATGCAGATGCAAACACCATTTTATAGCATACCTTCTATTGAATAAGAGGTTAGTTAAGCCAGAGAACTTTCTGGGTAATTGTACTGACACTCGACTCCTTCCTGTGTATAAGAATTGCAAAATGCAAGAGAAAAAAAAAAAGATTATTCAAGACCTTCACCCAAAAAATAATAATAACAATAAGAAAAGATACTAATTGTGCAGTTATGCAGCAGTTGAGTTGCGAAGGAGCAGGAATTTAATACACAATTCCAAAAAACATATGTCTCCAGCAACAGAATTCCAGAAACAAAAGCGTCTATGATTCACACAGATTCTTCATTTCTCAATGAGATCAAGTTCAGTGGAATACAATATCAGATTTTATCAATTTTTAATGCAAGAAAAATAAGCAGATTGTAGGGGTACTAGCACCAGCAAGTAATTTTTAAGCATTTAGGAAGAAAAAGAATGTGCTCTTTTGTGAATATGAAAGCTGTGTCAACATCGCAAGTCATACTACTTGCCTTTGAATTCTCAATTCTAAAAACGAATTCACAAGATCCCTTTGACGTCACTGAGCATGAGACTTTGGAAAGGTTATAGACCATGTAAAGCAAATGCATCCTATTTCTAGCACACTACAATGTTAAACTTTTACCGAATTAGTCAAATAATCAAGTGACCATATCTCACTTTCTAATAAGTAGTGAGGGATCTCACAGCCTAAGCACAACAAGGCACTTAATAAGGGGCACAATCCACCACCAAGTTAGTAGCCCATCATTCCAGCCCCCCATTGGATGCCCTACTATTTCAAGGGCCAGAGAAACCCCATCCTTCTCTTTTTCTATTTTACAATTCCACATTGACACGTGGAATGGACAATGGGGCACAAAAGAGGATCCTATAACTTATATCGACCTGGGATAATAAGCTCATGTGTTTAGTCTAACATCACTATGGACAAATAGAAGAAGACTTCCATTTCCAGTGCGCAAATATCTTGTTTCAATCGAGAGTGTTACGACACTAACTTGTTTAGTTAAGACACTGCCTTAATTTTTCTCGTTTACCTATCATAGCAAGCACTAATTTAAAAATCATCTTAGTAGATATAAAACTTGTATTTCCATTACAAAATAGAAGTTCACATCAGTTCATCCAGGAGAATAGTATCCCATCAACTACCAACAATAAAGATACTCATCACCAGCTCCACAATAGCTACTTCAAAAAATAAAACTTTTATGCACCATAAACATCTTGCACCTGCACATTCTATCCATTCACACAACATAAACACTCATTTCGTAGAATTAGCACTTGCGTACACACATTATCACCAACTACTATACAATTAAAACCCAATATTTCAGAAAGAACGGTTCAAAAGATGAATGAAAAAAGATTGCATATAAAACTGGAACACAGAAAGTGGAAAAGAATAAACAACAGAATACAAAACATCTAAAAAAATTGTGGAGTATACCTAAGTTGTAGCGGAAAACTTGAGGGAGAGGTTGATTTGAGTAAATAAATCGACCACCCACAAAAGAAGAAACGATTTTCGGTTGCAGAGACGAAGTTCCTACCATTTTTTGTTCTTCACCAACTCTTTGTTCTATGACTTCTGTCCCTCCGTCTCTTTGTTATCCGTAAAAGCACTTCGTTAGCTATCAGCCCATCACTCCGACGCTCTTTTGTTGGGCCAACAAGACTTTAAACTTCAGGTCCATTTATCAAGTCCATTATCCCTCATGACCCATAAAATTAAAGCTTCAGATGTTACTAAAATACGACAACAATCCCCCAAAAACTGAAGCTTAAGAAGCCCATTTCATTTTTTCTTAAATATTTTTTTCATCGTTAAAATTGCTTAAAAAACCAAATCTTAATCTAGGATTTAAGAGTTTGTCACACCTTTCCTCGCTAGCAAATGATTTTGGGATTCAATTTACAAGATTTGAGTCCTAATTAAGTAGGCATTTGCTGAGGACACTCGCGTACCTTCTAATAAACAAGAGGTTAGTTAAGCCAGAAAACATTATGGGTAATTGCATTGACATCGGAATCATTACTCGATTACACAAGTGTAACAACCTCATGAGGACTCAAGGTCCATAAGGTGGGAAGTTTATTGCAATCTATCTAGCTAACAATGAGCTTAGAATTCAGTTTATAAAGTCTGAGTTCTTGCTAAGTATATGTGTTTGTTGTTGAAAACATTTACGTGAAGTCTAAAAACAAGTCCGTGGAATGGGAAATGATTTTTAGCCCCCATGTAATTGTTCAATTGCCCCCACTTAAAGGATACATTTGTAATAAAAGTTAATAATAAATGATACTTAGTAAAAGATTGAGTATAGATAGCAAAATAGTTATTTTTGCATAAAAATAGCTACCATTTTAGTCTCTCACTTGCAGTCGATTAAATCTGTCAAATCCAATATTCTTCCTTCTTCTTTTAATGATCAAATCTATTTTGTTTTCATCAATCAATTATATTCTAATTAATGTTATTCATAACAACCTCCTTTAAAATTATGACAATTTTTAAAATGGGTTTCATTTACTGGTGAGGAATATAAACAGCTTTGCTCGTACAACTAACGTTATTCATAATAACCTCCTTTAAAATTATGCAAATTAGTCTTCTAATATCTCATTTAAAAACTGCCGACTCAACCCCGTTAATAATATTACCAGTTGTATAATAAATAGGTTGGTTTGGCTTCCTTTTTTTGTTTTTTTTTGTTTTTGTTTTTGGACTGCCGACTCAACCCCGTTTTAGTTGCCTAGAGTCCATATCGGGGTGGGGGGCTCACCAAAATGTTAAAAATATATAGTGTATTTATTTTTATACCGACAAAAATAAAAGTTCTTTAAATATTATTCTATACTTTTTTTACTGTATTATTTATTTTTAATGGGTATTACTATTATTATTATTATTATTATTAAATAGATTTTCTGTAATTAATATCTAATCCTGAGCATGTATGAAAGAATTTTATAAATCTATATATGAAAAACTTAAGAAAAGAAGAAGTAGGACAGGAAAAGTACTTAAATTTCAAAAATGGTTTCTCGATAGGTTAAATGGTCAAGAACAGATATTAACTTTCTGATAATTAAATTGATATTGAATGATTATCTTAGTGCCCAATAGTGTTAGCCCTTAAGTAACAGTTCCCCAATGCTAATACCATACTGTGACACTAGCTTATACATCACTATGTAAATTTACACTTTAACTTGTGTATCATTCTTAATTAATTTTTACTTGGTAACATTCTTTATCATTTTTTGTTTGAATAACATTTGTTAGATCATAAAATTGTCGAACCTTGACATTGATGCAACATTATCTACTAATTCACCACTCTTAAATTATGGTCAAATAGTTAATCATATTGTCTTTGACATAATTTAAAGGGGAGAACGGCAAGTTCCCACCCAAGGTTTGGCCAAACGACCCTTTCCCACCCAAATTGTTTCATAAAGACATTTCTCACCCATTGTTAAGATTTATCCATTAACTTTAACTGAAGAATAATATACTGGTAAACCACTCCAATGTCTATCCCAATTCCACCTCCACCACCCGTGTCATGCCCTCCACCAATACCACTTGTTGCTCCTCCTCTAGCACCATCACCTGCACCTCCTCCCACACCTCCACCAGCTCCAAACTCGCCACCATGACCTAAACTCCCACCTATTCCTCCTCCAACGTTGCCTCCAACTACTCTTCCACCACCTATGCCTCCAGTTCAAATCCTCCACCTAATCCACCTCCAACTCCTTCTACTCTACCCCCACCACCATCACAACCTCCAACTCATCCTCCTTCACGCCCACTACCATCACCTCTCCTCCAACACCACCACCAACACCATCACCCACACCTACTCCAACACCAAAACCTCTACCATGGCAAAAACCACCACCAAGTCCACCTCGTCCTCCTCTTGCTCCATCACCACCATCAATACCACCTCCAGCCCTACCACCAACGCCGCCTCTAACTCTAGAACCTCCACCTTTACCTGAACCACCTCTAACACCTCCTCCTCCTCCACCACCAAAGCCTCACCTTCGCCTCCAAATTACCAAGTTTTTCACAGCAGCCATACCCCATTCTGATCCCCCTTTCACAAACAAAAATCTTCATCACCAAACATTCAACAATTCATCTCAATTTTTTTTTCCACAACCAAATCAAATTAAAGGTTTAACCATGTTCAAACTCTCCAAATGTCAAAACACAATTTAAAATTCATAGGATCTATTACCCCAAAAGTGAAATAAAAAATCATAAGAAAAACATATAAAAAAATTCGGTGGTTGGCCAGATCAAGCGACCACGATTTGGTCGCCGCTTGGCCAAATCGTGTCAACATGATCTAGGCATGCGACGGCCATATCGGGCCACCAAAGTTTGGGCAAACAAGGTTTTGGAGAAGGGAAGGAGAAGAAAGAAAAAAAGGTGAAGAAAAAGAAACGAGAAGAAGATATAATGGTATTTTCATCTTTACACTGTTTATACCATGTCAGTTAACAAATTTTACTAACGGATCTTGATGATGGGTGGAAGAGTGTCGTTTGGCCAAACCTTGGGTGAGAAATTGTCGTTTTCCCTAATTTAAAGACTATGGAACTACTAACGAATTTAATAACATAGATGAACTATTGGGAATATGATTCATAAAGTTATTATTTAGATAAGAACTTTTTAATCAGCAATTTTTTCATTTACTATGCTTCAAACTTGGAATATGATCTTGATATAGAGAAAATTGGATTGTTATATATAAAGAAGAGTAAACGACATGTTCCCCCCCAAAGATTAGCGAAATGACAAGTTTTCACCCATGGTTTCATTTATTCCAAATTTCAACCCTTAAATTAACGAAAATCATTTTATATAACGGTTAAGGGGGTATTTAGGTCTTTTTATCCAAAAAAAATAATTTTCTGCAAACCCAACCCTTCCCCTCCGCCTCCAGCTCCACCACTAACACCAATAACTTTAATCTACAACACGAATACATCTTAAAATCCCAACAAACTACTTTCAATCAACTTCTCCAATCAAATCTCAACTGGAAAAAAAAACCCTATCGCACGAAGGCGCGCGAGTTGCATTTAGCAGCGGCTGGGCGGTGAGGTTGACTGGGGGTATAGGAGGACGGGAGTAGGAGGTGTAGGGAGAGGAGGCCCAACGGCCTTCTCTGCGTGCACAAGTGTCGCGCGAACTGTCGTTCGCGAATGGGTTTTGTAGCGACTGGTTGGATGGTGTTTGCGGCGGCAAAGGAAAGGTGGGGGGCTGGTTTTGGGTGGGGTTGTTGCGAGAGAACTTCAAAAGTCGTCGACGAAGACAGGAGTAGTGAAGAAAGTGCGACGGTGCATTGATGAGGCGGAAGTGGCGAAAGAACTTCAAAATGGGTTGTTCTTCACTTTTGGTTGCCTTGATTTGATTTTTGGAGTTGTTTGAGACTGATTTTGTAGGACTTTTTGTTTGTAGTTTGTTTGGCTATTGATTGTGGTTGATTTGTTGAATTTTGGGAGATTAGATTGTTGAAAAAACAATCACTTTCCACTCACCCACCGATGCCCACCATTTGTCTGTAAAAAAGCCACAACCAACAGTGGTTAAGTGGTGGACGTGGCAGTAGAGATGAGAAAGAAGAAGGGAGGGTAGTTTGATAATTGTACTTTTACATATATGGAGTTGATCGACTGTGTTACTTTAAGGGTGAGGATTTTGAATAAGAGTAATGCTACAGTTACCGACAGGTGCGTATCGAATTTGTGCACCGAATAACGTGGCACAATCCTGACCGTTGATTTATTATCAGTTAATATTAATCAACGGTCAGGATTTTGTCACGTCATTTGGTGCATAAATTCGGTGTAAACTTTTTGATAACTCTATCATTTTCCTTTGAATAAATGAAACTAGTAGTGAAAACTTGCCTTTTCGCCAATTTTGGGTGGGAACATGTCGTTTACTCAATAGAGATTTTGAAATGACATTAGCTATCACATTATTGAAATTTGGAGGTACAAAAACAAGTGATGTGAATTTGTGATGCAGTAAACAAAGCAACCAAATTGCACAAGCCAAATCCCGAATAAAGCAAAATGACATGAATCCAAACTATCAACTTCAAATCAAAACGACACTTGAGACATAAATCACGAAGTATTATTTCATATTATTTGGTGAATGAATAATTAATTTATCATTAAAAAAAAAATATATGTATATAAATTAATAAGCGCCAATAAAATACGATTTACTTGTGTTTCTATTCTACGCCATCAGGAATTGTCGTTTTCAATTCCATCCGTGACGACAAATTTTGGAATCCAATGCTGAGAAGATACTTTGGGTCTGTGTCTTCTGACAGTGGGCCTAGCCCATCTTGCAGGACCCACTTTTCCACTGTCTTTGTCTACCTCTTTTTTTGCCAGGCAAGTGTTAGAAATAAGAGATTTACAATTTAAAATTCATGTTCGTTGGGAAAGGATTGTTTTAAAAAAATAGTCGTATTGACGTATGGACTGTTTGAAACACGACTATAGTCTATAGTAAACCCTAAAAGAATGGCAAAAAATGAGTCCCACGTTCGGATCAAACTTTATTTATATGGAACATTATAT